GAGGAGGAGGAGGAGGAGGAGGAGGAGGAGGGGGAGGAGGAGGAGGAGGGAGGAAGAAGAAGCTGCAGCAGCAGCGGTGGAGGAGGAGGAGGAAATAATAAACAAATAGAAATTGAAGGACAGGGTGTAGCCCAAATAGCAGAGTGCTTGTCCGGCAGGAGGAGGCTCAAGGCTTAATCTCCAATATTGCAATAAATTCCTAAAATAGTCTTCAAAGTCCTGCCTGGTCCACACCTTAGTTAGTCTTGGGTTGAAGCCTTAATCCTCATAGTTTCATTTGTAAGTAACTCCACCACTACTGCACGCATATTTACTATGGACACACCCATCTCCTTCCTACACCACAATTAAGTTAGATATTGCTGCCTTTCACTATTCAAACCCTTGGTGTTTCCTCAGCTTGTTCCTAATGTTAATATAGCTCTTTTATTTTTCCTCTTCAGTTCTTTAAAGAAATAGTATTGCTCATCCTTACCTGCCTTTTCTCTACAGCATATATGACAACTTGAAGTTCTACAAAGCGCTTTACCAGTTAGCCATACATCCAACCGAAGGAAACAAGTTTTCGGGAAGGCAACCCCAAGGCAGAAACCCAGCATGGTGCACAGGTCCTTAATCCCACTAGCAGGACAGGATGCCCAGTTTGAGGCAAATAAGCCATCTTAAAAGAAAAAACAATCTAAAACACACCCTAAAACCCAGAAAGAGTAAATCATAGCCAAATTTAGTTTTTTGTGCTGAAGAAGAGAAAGAAGAAGAGGAAAGTGTAGGAAAGATCTGTCCCAATGCTTCGCCATCCTCTCCCCACCCACATCTTTTCATTCCCTGTGAAACATCTCAGTTCTTTTAGCTCCCTCTCCCAACTGCCAAGCAACGGGAGGCGGGACTATTTCTAAACCTCATCCCCGCTGTAGCCTCCGGCTAATACCAGTGCTAACTGAAGAGAGGCGAAACCACAGAGACTCCGCCCCCACCCCCTACTCCGCTAATCAGAGCTGGTAGGGTGTGGACTTCCCAATTGGTCCCGCCCTACAGCGCTGGGTAATTTAGAGGCGCGCGCAGGGCGGGAATGCAAGATGGCGGAGTAGCACCGCGAGGCTGCTAGTATTAAGTGTCTGTGCAGACCTCACTTCTGGTTTCAGCAGCATCCGTGGCCTCTGAGGGAAGAACGCCTAGGATACCTGTCCAAGATGCCGAATATAAAAATCTTCAGCGGTAGCTCCCACCAAGACTTATCTCAGAAAATTGCTGACCGCCTGGGCCTGGAGCTAGGCAAGGTGGTGACTAAGAAATTCAGCAATCAGGAGACATGGTAAGGACGAAATTTAGATCCCCATCAGACCTCACCTGCCCCAGCCGCGGGGGCTGCGGTATACATGGGGACTGGGGCGTGGAGCAGCCGTGTGAGTTCCGGGGAACTCGGGCAGGGGCTAACAGCGGTAACCCCTAGCGTGAGCGCTCGGCGCGCCGTTTCCGTTATTTTATCTTTCGCCGGGGGTGGGGGTGGGGGTCACGTTCGTTTTCAGGGTGCGGTGGGCGGGGTGGTGTCAAGATGGAGTTTTGAGGTTAAGCTGTTAGATTTGAAGGCAAATGGGGAGACACCCAATGCGGGGATGGTGGCTGCCGTGAGCCAGGGGAGAGGAGGGAAGACAGGCTTAGCCTCAGCCTGGGGACACGTGGCTTGCCGCTTCCCGGTTGAATCGCCACCCACGAGACTGAGTTCGCTTCCACTCATAGACAGTATACTTCGGGAGCCTACTGCGTTCTTACCCCGATAGTCTTTTCTAGAAGTTTGAGAAGCAGTTTGCCAATTCGAAATCGTATCAGTCGGGCTTGGTATTGACGGAAACTAAGGATTGGTACTGAAGGGCAGAAAATAGTACCGATGACGTCCCTTAGATTGACAAATATTGGTTATTCACATTTTTAGAATCATCTACCGTATAATCCAATCCATCCTTAAGTCTAGTTAATCGGATAATAAACTGGTGCACTAACTGCACCCTTCCTTGATAATCTGCATTCCATCTCGACTCATACTGAAACACTTAGGGAACCTCAGTTAAGAAATAGACCCCTTGGCCTTCTCCAATGTAGATACTGCTACAGTACCACATCAGCACGTTTTCAGGAACATTATTTTATCCAATTGAGGGGGGGAGACTTTGCGAGAGAACCCTTATATCTGAATGTTAAAAATAACGACAGGTTCTTATGGAACAGTGCGTTGTAATTTAACTTTTATTCAGAGCTTTGCCATTTGCTCCCCCTCCCCATATCCATCCTCTCATTTCAATATCTGAGAGATTACTTCATTACCTTGTTTGTTCCCAGGCACCTTTCTGCTAAAACTGGACTATTCTGCTTCTGATAGATGTACTTTGTGTTTTGTTCGTACCTGATTGATCAAATCAAACCACAACCCAGTATTAATCAGTTAGAGAATTTTTTGCTTAATGTTCAGTTCAGTTAGGTAAAATTACTTCAAACATTTTTAGAAATATTTTTTGCTCTTTTTTTTTAAGCTGATTTCCTTATGGTTTTTAAGGGTCTATAGAAGTATTCATCTGTAATGGATATCCTTCAGGAATAGTGAGCTGCTGATTGTGATGTAAATGATGGTGCAAACACTGATAACATCTGTAACCAGGCAATCCCTTAGCCTAACAGGCTTGCATGCTGCTGTTAGAACTTTGACCACACCATTATGCTTCCCTGGATCTTAATAAAGAAGAAATGGGACTAGACTTTGAGTGGCAGCATATCTAGGGGACAAGAATGGTTGGTTTGTTTTTTATAAGCAATAAAAGTTTATTTGGCTCACTGTTCTAAAAGGATGAAAAATCTAAGAACAGTATTTTCTTTCCAAGGTTTCTTTGGCTCCTGTGGTTGTTAAATCCTTTTCCAATGGTTTCAGGGAAAATATGAAGACTATTTTCTCCATGTGTTAATCCTTCTGCCCTCTGTAGTGCTACATACCAGACAAAACCTGACGCTATATTTTTGGAAAACAACTTAATATTCTCGATTGATTTTAATTAATCCGAACATGTATAATTGCCAAGCGGTTAATTTGCTTGTTTCTAGCTTAAGTAGCTATTTGGTTTTATAGATGTTCTAAATCTATATAAAACTACATAAAACCTACATTTCCAGCCCTGTGCCTATGGTTCATGCTTTTAATCCTAACCTACTCAGGAGGCTGAGGTCTGAGAGTCACAGTTCGAATGCAGCTTGGGCAAGAATATTTCTAAAATTCTCATCTCCTAGCTGGGCGCCCGTGGCTCATGCCTGTAATCCTAGCTACTCAGGAGGCTGAGATCTGAGGATCTCAGTTCAAAGCCAGCCCCGGCAGGAAAGTCTGTGAGACTCTTACCTCCAATAAACCACTCAAAAACCGGAAGTGGTGCTGTGGCTCAAGCCGTAGAGCACTTGGGACAGCGCCCAAGCCCAGAGTTCAAGCCCCATGACCAACCAAAATAAAAAAAAATTAACCACCAAAAACAAGAGCTGGAGCTGTGGCTCAAGTGGTAGACTGCTAGCCTTACGGCTCACAGGCCTTGATTTCAAGTCTTAGGACCATCACACACACACTCTTTTTTCTAAGCTGCAGGAATTTTACTGTCTATCCCTGTAACTCATCAAATCTGAAAAGTCATAAAGCACATCATGGTACTCAGTGAATGGGTGATTCATCAGATAGGGAGTTGCAGAGCCCATCCTAAGTGAAACATTTTTGCTGTTGACTTAATTTAGCAGAACCTCTGGTTTGAGTAGCTGATCTTCCGAAGTCATGATCCTACTTGGCTGTAGTTATTTAAGAAATAAACATTAACCCAGGAAATTCATTGTATATGTACTCATACATATAGATGTATTAGAAGATGCTGGACCTAGTACTTCTGAAGCTGATTTAGGGAGGATCTTGAGGTTTAGGCCAGACTAGGAAGCAAACAGATGCTTCCTCAAAAAAATAAAGTGCTGAAATGAGAATCTGAATGTGATTTTTTTTTTTGTCGGTCGTGGGGCTTGAACTCTGGGCCTGGGCGCTGTCCCTCAGCTCTT